CTTTCCTCGGGAAATTGAGTCACTGAATACAAGTGTCAGAGTGTGTTGTTTTTTTCCCCTAGCTTCCGAACGCCAAGCATCCCATTTCATCGGATCAGTTACCGCCACGCCGCATCTCTCTCACAGACGCCGCGTTGTTTGTACGCCCAAACGTTTGTTCTGCCCCGAGGAAGTCGGAGTTGAAGCTCAAGTTTCGGCAGTTCCAAGAGGACCCTCGGACGAGTTTGGTCGCGTTTTTCGCTTCGTTGAGACCAGATCCATCCGACGGAGTCCATGCGGATCACCAGATCCATTGAGTGGTCTCGGAGACGCCCTCAGACCATCCATGGGGACCGGAGGAGTGAACAGACATGGGACCGCCACTGCCATGGAACCATGTTGGTAACTTACAGTAGATATAACTGTGTTTTGCTCTTAAGAGGATAAGGATGAATTCTTTCTTTCTGTTACGCCGAAGGTCGATGATTCAGCTCTTTTTATGAAGGCCGCTGTTGGAAGGCGCAGAGGATAAGGACCAAACTACAAAATGCCTAACCTAGGGTGAATCGCCGGCTTCCTGGGCGGGGCCGGCCTGGGAGCCGCCGACCTCCAAGTCTTCCAATTCCAAAAGTTCGTTCGATGGGGTGCTACGCACGGTTGTGAGTCGAGCAAAAGATCATGATGATGAAGGGGTGGATGCCATGGACCTGGCAAGCTCTTTCCTACGTGTGCCAAATCAATGGGTGGCGCCTATGTTGGGAGATCTGCCAGTTGAATTGATGGATTGTCCTCCCACGACTCATGCTTCGGAGGCTAGACCAAGGATGGAACAGAGCGTCCTTACGTGGACGCGAAGCATTGAGATCCCTTTGCAGGACTTTATCATACAGAAACCTCCGGGAAGTTTCCCAGCAAGGATTCCCCGGGGGACTGTCCTCAAGACGGTCTTGAATGGCTACAGATCAAGCAACCTGGCTGACAATAGGGAGGGCCAGGTGGACGAGAGCTATGGTTATTGCCTGCTTGTCGAAGCAGAACATCTGCTGTGGCGTGTGTCTCGTTCCCTTGCTGAGACAAATGAAGCAGTTCCATCACATGGTTTAGATCCAATGCTCGAGAGCTTACTAGAAGGAGGCCTCCCTCCAGAGCTCCGTGCATTTGCTACGAGTACAGGCCTACATTCGTACTTGGTGGAGGGTCCCAACGATTTAGTGTCAGCGATATCGACGCTAGCACAATTGGGTAAAACGGTGAACTTCATCTCATACCTGTTGGTGATGCTCTTGCACATTCAAGAATTATTGGTTGCAGAAGTGACTCACAGGTGAAACCCATATGCTGAAATCAGATTTCAAAACGTCAATGTGTTCATCCCAGGGGCGAACACCATCCACATCTTTGGCGGTGCGAAGAAATCTGTACCAGGATGTTCAGCTGAGGATGGCGCCAAATGGGCGTCTTCTCGAATGTCCCACAACATAGCAGTATTTTGCTACGAGACATCCGAGTTGGCCTTTTCAGATGAAGCAGTGAGATTTCAGTTGATGATTGCTAGTGGCTTCCCGCTCATGAGCTTGCAGTTCAGAGCAGGACCAGGAGCTAGCTGGCTTCGAACATTCAACAGTCTGCACCAATGTGAACCATTCGCAGGCATAGCAGTGTTTGTCAGGAAAGGTGTAACCTTGGCTCAGATGTCTATGGCCCCCTATGGACCTGGAAGCATTGTGACCGGGCCGCTGGGTGGTTTGGCTCCTCCAGCTCATGCTTTGATTGCAAATTGGCCTCCAACCAACATGACTCATATGCTGAGCAGACAGCCTTTGACACAACAGATGCAGCAACAAGTGGCTCAGACCGGAACGGCCTCGCAGCTGTTGTCGGCTATGCAGCTTGCTAACATGGACACAATGCAGTCTGGAATTTAAGGCTCCGTGTCGCTGTGCGGGACCCCCCCGCATTAGCGATTAGGCGAGATCCTTAGGCGGGCCGTGTGTGTATGGTCGCGCCGATCCTTTGCCTGGTGTTCTTGGATCTTCTGGTGAGACAAGCTGATTTTGCGGGCTCGAGAGCCTACGTGGCACCGCAATTTGAGGCGGTACCGCCAACGAGCACGAGCTTATCTTCGAGGACGAGGACCGCTCTGTGGAGGTGCCAAATCAAGGAAGCGAACTCGACAGGCTGCCTTGGTTTTGACCCTTCATCACGGATCCCACCCTCCGTCCAACATGAAGATGCAGAATCAGAAGTGGCGTTGCAGGTCATGTGGGACCACTATGACCTTTCTCCAGACACACTGCACAGGATGCCATGCCTGGTGGGAGAGGTGTGTAGATCGGAGACAGCAATCCCGTTCGAAGTCTCAGAGGAATTCGGAACCAGGGAGCACAGAGGGAGATCAAGGACAAGGACAAGAAAGGCAAGGCGCCTGCCAATCCGGCTACGCCCACTTCAATGCTTCCATCCTTCATGGCTTGGGAGGGAACTGGGCAACCATGGCAGAAAGGAACTCCGGAGAGCAGGTTGGCCACCGTTGCTTTGGAGAGCGACGACTTGCCACCTCCGCCTACCCTTCCTCCTCCACCGAAACCGGTAGAGGAGACGGCAGAGGTTGCACCAGAAGTGAAAGCCCACATCGAGAGTCTTCAGAAGAGCATGGGCAGTGCTTTCACACCCAAGCTCGAGCAGGACATCATAGCTGCGGCCAAGATGCCTGCCAAGGCTCAGTCGATCGAGATCACCCATACCGATCTCAACAAGGCCAAGCAGGCTCGCAATCAGTACGATGCTGCAAAGAAAGAGCTGAAGAAGATCGACGAGAAGTGGGTGCAATTCAACCAAGGACTACAGCAGGCCTACAACTGCGAGCACGAAGAATACAAGTGCAGACGGAAGGCTGCTGTAGAGGAGTTGCAAACAAAGAGGCAGAAGTTGGAAGACATCTAGGCGAAGATCAAGGCTTCGGCATTGAACCACGAGGCAGTCGAAGCAGTCGAGACCGATCCTCCAGACACTGGATTGTTCCAGCGAGCGCCCATCGAGGTGGATGCCATCTCGGACGAGGAGACGCCAGATATGATGGAGCACCAGCCATCTGTCTCATTTGGACGTTTGCACACATCTCCAACAAGGCGTGCCGAGAGTACACTAGCAGGCAATGCCAAGAAGGTCAAGACCGAACAGCCCAATACCAAGTGAATGGTCTATGGGGAAGTTTCCAGGCGCCTTTTTTGGTCGACGGGACTTCTCTAAGGACGATTTTTCCCGGGAACTTCCAAGACTCGCTATGGGAGTGGATCTCATGGTTCCTTTGGGAGTGGGAGCAAGCATGTGAGGTACTTGGGATTTGTTTGGCCGCCTTTGGGATTTTGAGTGTAGCTTTGATTGGGATCCTTTCTCTTGCATCACCAGGGACAACTAGACGAACAAGGTTGTTGGGTATGCCCTTGACTGTCTGGGTTTGGTTCTGGGTGCCTGCACTTGGAGAAGGAACTCTGGTCAATCATGCGTTCATTCACTATAACTTCAGCTCCTATGAACCGGTTGGCAACCGGGATGAGGCTGAGAGGGCTTTGGAGGTGGAGCGCCTAACAGGCAGGCGCGGTGGCTCACACCTGCTGGCCCACCCCATTGTCTCTCAGAAGCCCACTACTGCTGAGGAGACCGATGACCTGGCCATGATGCAGAGAATGGGCTCTGTTGAGGTCAGATGGACGCATTACCAACAGGAAATGCAGCCGGGCCTGCACCGGCTTTGGCGTCACCCTTTTGTGGCTCGGCATTTCGGGCAGAGTGCTGAGTTGAAGGGATGGCCGTGCCACTTGAACATGGACAGTATACGATTCCGGGACTTTGTTCATCCACTTGGAGAAATCCGGTGGATTTTGACGCAGTCAGTTGAGTCAGTGGATGGAGGACCACCACTCCATGATATGATCTTATACCAGGATGAACACTCCTACCGCCTGCCCTTCATGATCCAGGTCATCACTGGAGATGGAATACTGCAGGGGTCGGTTCTCTGGGAACATAAGCATGAGCCTGTTTCAGTTAATGCTCGTGATCTCTTTGCTCTTTGGGGACATGTCTGTCGATGTTCAGAAGCTGAATGTTCGGTTCTCCTACCGGAGCAAAGGAACTTCAATGAAAATCTTCAGATTTACCCTGGCGCTTTTGTGCGCTTGAGATGTGCCCCCCGGAGAGATCAGAATGACACACCTACTTCATCGTGTTCAACTTGGTTGGGGACTCTTGGTACTTCAACTTCGTCAGAGTCTTCGTTTGCCCAGGACTTCATATCTGGCAATCCGGAGGATTTTGAGGCTCTTGAATTGGACACGGCTGGTAACAGGGAGAATGACACTGAGGTGATCCACTTTTTGCAGGAGTCATTGTCACCCTCTACTCATTCTGATGGTGAAGAGATGAGTGCTCAGGGACATGATGATGGTGGAGCCCACGGTCTGGAGGATGGGGATTTCCTTTCCTTCTTTCGAGCGCATGGGCTGGAGGATGAAGATTCTCATTCTCTCTTCCAGGTGGAGACTCTCATGCCGGTGCGGACCCTCGACGAGAGCATTCTGGAGATGTGGAGCGTGCATACTGAAGTTCGAGGACTTGATCGCTTGAATATGGATGCAATGGCCTATCTCTGGATGGAAAGAACGGCACCTGTTTTGAGGATCAGGCATGTGGATTTCAAGTACCGCACGTGGATGGCGGCATGGGGAGACACTATGGCTCTTACGCCTGAAACCCTGATCCCTAAAGTCAGAGCGGCTTTGCATGATGATTTTGCTCCCTCAGTTGATCTGTGGGTGGGAGCAGTGACTCCGCAGCCAGATCAAGCGTTGCAAGGGCACCAGGATCATTTTGAGATTTTGGTGCAAGGAGGGACTGGTGGAGTTCCATCCTTGGCAATTTTGCACTATGGCACCCTAGCCCGGCCGCATACAAGAAATGTGCCTATCTCAACTGGCAATCTGGTCTCCTGTGTGGAGGTTCTGATTTCCGCAGGGGCCAGCAATGTCTGCAGTGCACCAGGCATGCAATGCCCTTGTTTCTTGGAGGGCATTGCCCCTTTCCATGATGACAATGTGGTGCTGCGTGGCTGGCAGCGGATTGATGTTTATGTTTCTGAAGTGACGGAGATCTGCACCACTACACAATTTAGTGGCGATTCCAACTTTGCCTTTGAGGATGACGTGGTCACGCTCTTTGACTTGGGACAACA